AAGGCTGGTGTGGTAGCAAGGAGAGAGATACCATGGTGTTGTGGCATCAGATAACAAGGTGGGAAGGAGCCATCAGATTTAGTTAGCAGAGCTTCTCCACAACCTGCGTTGTGCTGTTCCCTGGCGTTGCTGAGTCCTTGGCTGGTGTTCCAACATCTACATAGCTGCACTGTGCTGGAAACGGAGCAAATTTCCCACGATCCTGTACTTGAGGTAGGACAAAACCTGTATGAGCCAGCCCCTCGGCTCCCATGGGAAAAAGTTTCCACGCACATGTTGTTCAGCTCTGCTTCTTCAGGCTTCTGGTGTGTGTAGTCTTTGTGTTTGGCCAGCAGAGGCTGTGGTCACAGGCAGGCAAATCGCCAAGTATTTCCTTGAAGTGTTTCCTTCATGAAAGAATTATGCAGCCTAGCTGAGCTTTTCATGGTCAGCGTGGTTGCCTCTAGGCAAATCGGTGCATCTTGTTTTGCCACTGGGAAAGCTAAAGGAGAAGAAATCCTGACAATACAGGCTACAGGATTTAATGCTTTTGGAGGAGACCTAAGAAAGAAAGAAAATAGGTTCAGTTCAGTCACTTAGATTGGTCCAGACCTTCTTCAAGAGGTAAAGTGGTGGATACTGAAGGGAGTCTCAGAGCAAGAAGAGTTTTCCTGGGTGTATATTGAAAGTGTTAGAAGGGAAGCAGATCACCACTGTGAGCATCTGGCTGAGCACTGGGGATGTGCATGTAAACTGTCAAACATTGATGCACATCTATGCCCTGAACATGGCACGTAAGTGTTTGTCTGGGAAAAGCTGATTTCTAGGAAACTCATAGATCTATGTGCCTTGTATCATGTTTTAATGCTTGTGCTCCCTGTACCACTGGGGAAAGAAATCAAGAGCTGGAAACACATAGGGAGGCTTAGGGCTCTGGATGAAGGTTGCTGCTTGGCTTGTTTTACTTTGGGCTTCGTGGTTGCTGTTCAGGCAACATGTAGGCAGATCAATCAATCTTCACATGCTCAGCTGCTGGCTTTCCACGTGGGCTGGTTTTCAATGGAAGACAAGCTGTGGGCAGGCTACAGGGCCAAGCAAAGCTTCTGTTCTCATACTGTAAAAAAGCTTCCACAAATCTTGTGGGCATAAGACAAAAGAAGGTCCATAGGCTTTCAGCGGAGGGAATGTAAAACTTGCTGTTAGGCTACTCTTGGCTCGTCTGGAGCAGGAGCACGTAGGTCCTGAGGAGCTGCAATGTGCACTGCCTGTTGCCCAGGCAGCAGCCGAGTCTGAGTTTGGCTCTCTAGGAAAGAGCTTTGTAGGGTGGGTGGAAGCAGCTGGAGGGGATGGAGAACACAGTCTGTGAAAAGCAAAGCTTCATTGTCCCGGGAGCACTAGAGCTAATGAGCTGTGCATTTCAAAGGTGATGAGCCTTCTTTAGACCCTGCAAAATAGCGCCCGGGATTTGCCTTGTTAAATCTCTACATGGAGAAGAGGCGCCTATGGGGGAGGAGGAGGAGGGAGGCAGAAGAGGCAGCATGCAGAAAGTAGAGGCCAGAGGCCCTTATTTGGGTGCAAGTAGCAATCTGCTGTCTGCATGAGTCTGCCTGAGTTGCATATGCTCTCCTCTTCTGTGTGCACAGACAATTGTGATAAATAGAGGTTCAGGCAGTGAAGAGGATTTATTTTTATTTGCCTATTTTTGTCATTCACTTGGCATCTCTAGATGAATGGTAGAACCAGGAGGAAAAGGCTATTCTCCTTGTGAATACAGTTGTCTTGTGTGAGGCAGTCTGTCTCAAAGACAGTTTGATGCCTGCTGACCCCTTGCAAACTACCTTCATGCTGAAAATATCATGCTGCTGTAATGGTCTGCTTTTGGCAATCCTGCCAGCAATCCCATGGAGTCTTTCAATTGGAGCTGTGGATAGGCAGCTTTCCATTCTTTCTGACTGGGGGAGCATGAGTCCTAGTCTCTGTCCTTCTGGCTGCCATCATGTACATGAGTGGAGGTGAAAGGACCTCCTTTTGACACTTCACCTCCCAGCAGCATAGACCACATAACCCCGAAGTCTGTTCTGCCCTTCTGCAGAGCCTGGATCCGTCCTGCCCCAGTGCCGTCAGGAGCTGCTATTGCAAAGGATGGTTGACCCAACCTTTGGTCCCATCTCCTTTCATTCTAGCGACAAGTTACTTTCAACCTTCTCTTTCCGTGAGAAAGGATTCTGAAGTCTGCGCTCTATTCACTAGTGTCTTGTCTTTCCTTCCTATTTTCTCTTTTCAATGTGTCAGTGTTAGTAGGCCTGCATTCAACACATGGACCCATGGGCACATGTAAAGCATCATTCCCTTCCTGTCAAAGCCAGTGACTCCTGAAGTGGGAAGGCTAAAAGTAAAGCCCCAAAGCATTAGGTGAAGATGACATTGTGCCCAGCTCGAAGCAGGGTAAGAGGAGCTGTTTCATGTCTCATTGGTCCACTGAAACTTAAAATTGGCAGCAAAGACGTCAAAGCAGGTGTGAGGATGCTTCAGCAAGATTTGCCAAGGACTCCTCTGTTCCTGTCTGATGCTGAGAGGCAGGACAGGGAAGAGATGGCAAGCACAGCCTGTTTAATATTCTCTTCTGTTCGTCTGATCTCCCCCTTACCCTGCAGAAGCAACATGTCCCATGTTTCTGCAGAGCTTGTCCTGAGCAATAGCAGCATCTGTCAGGGGTTACAGTGGCATTAGCCTCATGGAGCTGGGAGTTAGCAGTGCTTGGCGGAGTGACAGTTCTGCTGTACCTTACATAAATCTGTATCTTGCATAAATCTGTCTCTGCCTGCTCTGCCAAGGTGTGTGGTTGCAATTTGTCTGATTCCTCCTGCTGTCCACGAGGCCTTTCAGTTCCTCACGCTTTCCCACTCCATAACTTTTCCCTCATAGTTTCCCCATGATTCCTAGAAGGAACATACATGTTAAACAGGTATTATTATAAAGTAAATTCCCATCACCTGCCCCTCTGAGGTGCTGCAGAAAGCTTCCCAAACAGGTTCCTTGCTCACAGTACTTCATGGTACTTGGTGCACGTTGGTTGCCTCTTATCAGCTTCCTTGGACGTTACTTTCTAAGGGCAGAAAGTAGCAGCAACTGCCCCTGTTCTTGGCTGCCTTCCAGTGTGTAGGAAATTCTTGGGGAACACAAGAAAACCTTTATTAAATGGATCATATCCCAAGCCATGCTTATGCTATGTGTTCTCATACAAAGCACCTAGAAAAAACAAGTTGACCTCTTGAAAACATCTCTGATCACCATGGGGCTTGCCCTGAGCCATGCTTTTCATCCCAGCACTACTCGGGCACCTGATGGGATCCATGCTGCAGCAATGGCCTGTGGAGGGGCCACTCACCAGTGCTCTCCTGTGTCATTTTGTCACATGCACACTCTACCCCCAATTGCCTTATTGCTTTAAGGCTATAACAAAGAGCTGCTCTGAGCACTGCCAGAGAGCAGTGTAATGTTCCCGTCCGTCTGCAGGGCCAGTCTCTTAGTATGTATTACCCAATAAAATGCAGTGGCTCCAAAGGAGCGTATGGTCTGTCAGGTAAACTCATTGCACCTCTTGGTGAGAGACTCCACTGAGATATATGTGCTTACATGCTGAGAAGGAGGTACTTGAGAGTAAGGGTATTACTGCTACTATTATCTACAAGGGTTTGAAGTCTGGAGCTCATAAGCAGGAAACATAATACATTGTTTTACCACAGGTTATCACTGGAGGAAAGAAAAGTCTCCAACATTGTGTTACAGCATGTACCCTGGGCTCTTAAAATGGAAGTTTCTGTTTTGTCTCTAAGCCTGCCTTCTTTTGTAGGCAGAGCTGGGAGCTGTAATACAAGTGGATAGTATGTGTTAAGTCTATACAATGGCTCTTTAAAAAATAATTACGTATGGTACAGGAGGGAGAGGAAACTATTCCATTCCTGTAAATAGCCACTTAAGATGCGGATAATAAATGTGATAAATAATGTGGCATATCTCAGCTTTAGCACTTAGGAGGAGTAAATTAGAGCTCTTCTCCCCATTGTCTGCTGAGATGAATTAGAAATGGAGTTGGAAGGGAAGATTTCAGAGTTGTGGCAAGGTGTTGGAAAGCCCATGGGAGCGTGTCGGAGTCTCCTGCCCTCCCCTGCCTCTCCCGTGTGTTTTGCTGCACTTTCCCTTCTCCACCCCTCCCCGTTCAGTCTCATTTGTCTCTTGCGAGTAAGTGCAAGAACAACACCCGGGGAATAAAGCCTCCGCCGGCAGAATTCACACATCTTCCAGATATCTCATTGGGTGTTTAGTCCTTCGCCTTCCCACCAGCGCTCTGCCACCCTCCTCTGCCCATTCATACCTGCTCCTCGCAGACGAAACCAGCTGCTCTTGTATGCAAAGTCTGAGTGCCGCTGTTTAAACGCAGCTCCGGCTGCTAAGCCCTGGCGATGAGCGGGGTGCCAGGCTGGGGCTTCCATTGAGGGGCTGTGTCGCTTTAAGGCATGTGATACTTTCCCGATCAGGCATGTATTGAAATAGGCTCCGGTACTTACAGCATCGTATAGCAGTGTACGTACAGCTGCCTTACTCTGCACTGCCCGCGCTGGAGTGAGGCTGCTCTGTCCTTAAACATAAACTGCTCCTCGTCCTTAAGTATCCTGGAAGCTGCAAATTATCTCAAGATCACTTCAAAGGTCTCATCAAGCAGAAGGTGATGCTAGGAGATGATTTAAAGGTGAAAATGAGAAGGTTTCCACCCCTCAAACCTTGGCCACTTTTCTGACGGCAGAGTCTGAGAGCTCAGATGTCTCCTTTACTCTGGAAACAGGATTTGTAACGGAAAAGATTCTTCTTTGTTTTTTTTTTTTTTTCTTCTTTTTTTTTCTTTTTTAATCCTGATAAAGAAGATTATTGGGAAGCTATTAAAACCCCCTTATTGTGATACAGATGGATTTAAAAAAGTGTTAGTTCTTTCCGATGAACACTAAGAGTGCTCTGCTCTTGGTTGGATTACTCAGGTAAGGAGCTTCTTTAGGATTTAAGATTCAGAAAGCAGATCTGGAACTCATCAGATAATAAGTGGAGGAATACTCACTGCTATGTTTCTTTACTAGTGATAAGATGATCTGTGTGTAAAAGTGTATGCGATAGCAGTTTGCTGACAAAGAAGCGCACGAAGACATGCTTGTTAGAAATGCTGGGGTTTGAGCAAAGGTAGCTTGAAATATGTAGTTTGAGAGATTTTTATTTAAAATCACAAAAAAAAGACAGGGAGCTAATAATAAAGCCCGAGTGGGCTGAGTTAAGTCTGCTGTCCATGTGGCTGAGAATATGATGCTGGAGGAAAGACACAGGAGCGTTTAGCAGGCTGTAAAGTTTGGCTTTGCTTTGCTGTTTTTTAAAGTTAAGCTTAAATAAGCTGCATACCTGAAATCTCCCTATGCGAGAGTCGCCTTTCCCTCTTCCCTTGTGTAAAAGGCATGGGGGCACCAAATATGACAAGAAGGCATTAATTCCTGAAGACATGGGAAGCCTACTGGGAGCTCCCTGATCTGAGGGGATTGAATCTATTTTGCAAGATAAATAGGTCTAAAAAGAGAGGAGGAAAAGTACGCTGTATACTGCAAAGTAAACAGTTGGAAATGAAATTAATTATATGCTAAGCAGTGTTTCAAACACTCGGTACAGAGAAAGGAAGAGCCTCATGCTGATAGAATAATGTTTTGGTATTTTCTATTGATTATACTTGTCAGTTTACATGGTTCTCTTCAACCAATTAGACTAAAAAAGCTTCCCAAAGACTATATGCTGCTTTAAAATCGAGGCAAAAGACTATATGCATTATTACCCCCTTATTTCACTACTTGATATTGTTAATCTCCTTAACGCAGAAAGCCCCCTGATATAGCACATACAGACTTCTTATTGTTTTAATTTTTGTGTAAAGACATGATTTTTCTCTGTGAGAGATTTAATCTTTCAAAGTCTTTCTTGCTCTGTGAAAATGATGTTCAGCTGATTGGATTATTAGATAGAAACCGGCATCCTGTCATTGGCTGAATAAGAAGAGTGCCTGAAGTTTGATTAATTTGGCAATATGAAATGCAGCAGAAGGTGTTGTTAAGGGAACTGGACGATGTGTAGCGTAGCTGAGCCTTGTAAAACTCCGGGTCCTTGCAAGCATTGAGAAAGAGCTGTTGAAGTTAAAAAGTAAAAGGGAAATTTAGAGAGTTAGTACAGTAATGAATACAAGTATGAAACCCACGGTTGCCTATGCTGTATGTCAAAGTGTGCCAGCACCAGGAGAAAAAGAAATTGCTCTTTCCTTTTGCAATAGGAATATTGTTAAAATTTTGACACAATCTGCTTTGTGAAAGGATCAGATTTTCTATACAACACAATTTCTATACAGAATTTCAGCCTGGCCATACTCCAGTCCCTTTGCATGCACAGGTCAAACAAAAGGAAGCTGATTTCATCTGGGGATTAGAACATAATTCTGAGAAACAATTACTTTGTTTAGCAGACAGCATCATGATTAAAAATTAATGATTATAAAAGTAAAAAACAACCAACTGTTACCTTCTGGGTCAGTATTTGCCTTCCATTCTTGGGGATGGAGTGTTTTTCAAATGCATCTCAGCTATCTGAGGATGTGTATATGTGATGTGTTTAAAATAGTTTTGATACTGGCTGGGCATAATCTTTTTTCAGCTTCCTGTGATTTTATTTGTGTTGTTATTCTTTTAACTCCCTTGTAAATTCAGCTATGGAGCAGTGTGGGAATGTTTTCCAGTCTTCTATTTACATTGGGTTTTTTAGTCCTCAGATCATTACAGTTTTGTTTTTTACCACTGAATTATTAAAGTCATCCAGGCTCCTGTGTTGACATCTTGTCACCTCAGCCATCCTTTTTGGACATGACCTTTGTTGTGTGACAAGTGTACCCTGCCGGGGGGAATAATAACTAAGAGACAAAAGATATTTAGGCAAAAGGAGTGAAAAGGAAAAACAACTGAAAAATACTGTTGTAATGGAAGCTGACTATTCTGTGTGCTGTAAGGCGTTGGATAATAATGTCTGTCTAATATTTTGTTTAGAGAATGGCAGTGGTCTCTGCAATGTCCTGGGTCCTGTATTTGTGGATAAGTGCCTGTGCAATGCTGCTCTGTCAGGGGTCCCTCCATCACACTTTCCAGCAGCATCACCTGCACAGACCAGGTAGGACTGAGATCAGCTGTGGGATGCCGTAAGATTGCAGGCGCTCTGCCCGTACTCATGTCTGTCTTGATAAATGATTGAATAATCATAAAATCCTTTTTATCTTTTAACTTTTATGAGTTGCTTGCCTTCATATTGCACAGCATCTTTTTTTGGTCAGTCTAACATGTGTTGTGCTTTGCCAGTATGATGTTGGAATATTCATCCTTTAACATCATCTTCTAATAACTTCCCAACACAGGAATCCCATTTTGGATAACCATGAAGTTTCTCTGTCTCTCTCTCTATCCTTTTTTCTATCTTTGCTTCTCCCCATTTTGTGCAGTTCTGGAATGGTCTTATAACTCAGAAAGACATTGTTACAGGTTGGATAACTTTGCAGTTATCTGATCTAAACTGGGCATGGGTTTGTTACTTAAAATACTGGCACCAAATCTCACTCGTAGTCACTAGGATTTACTGGAGGTCAGGTGTTTGTCTTGGCTTAAACAAGAGACACAGTTACCTGAGGTTCTCAAGTTTACCGATAAAAATTGATGGGCTTGCAGAAGTGCAGCCTAGAGGAGAATTTGGGACTGTCTTCCAGTGGAGCTAAATGCCTGTAAAGTCTGTAATGAATAAATCCCACAGGTTAGCAGCAGAGATTGCAGCTCACTTTGACTGTTGTGATCCACAGAGGGCTGCACATTAGGAGTTTTATTGTTTTTATTAATATAGATGGATCGTGTAATTTTTTCAACTGATAATTGTGGTTTGAAGAATATCTTGGTATGTTACAAATCGAGGAGTCAGCATATTCTAGCACAGTATTATCATCTGGTTAAAGTTAGATGGGCCAAGAATGTTAATAAATTTGGATCCAAAGAGATGTGGGAGAAGTTTTAAGAGCTTTAGAAATGAAAGATGAAAAATGTTAACTTGTGGTGGCAAATCATTAAACAAAGTGGCAACTAATACTTTAATGGGTTTAGATCTAATGACATACCTTCCAAGATGGACAGTCTTGAACTGCAAGTCTTTAGCATCCTCAATGACTCAAAGTTTTCCCAACTACTTGCATTGTCCAAAAGTCGTAGGTATTGGCATTGTCTTGCTTTCCTGTAATAAAATGCGTAGTATAGAGGAATAGGTGGCTATACTAAAGCATCACCTTAACTAATCATGTTATCTTTACTAGCTGGCACAGTAAGTTTGAGAGCATTTAAAGTTTGAATGGTGAGGTTCAGGACTTGCAGAGAAATGAGTGAAATATTTATTACAATCCAACTGTAAGTAATGCTGTAGTTATTTGAGTCTGTCCACCAGTGAAGGAAATGGGAAAAACCAGCCCAGCTAAACAGATAGGTAAAAGGAAAATGTAATCTCATTTTGTACAATCAGTTGAAACGAGTGACATTATGAGAAAAAATGAGAGCTGGGCAGATTCAGAGCTCTGCACATTTGCCTAAGCTTGAAAAATCACCTTTTTTATGAAGCAAGAACAGCAAGACACTGGATGCATACCAAGTGTTGGGGAAATGTGAAAAATGACAAAATCTTTCACTCAGAGATGTGATACAGATAGAGTGAAGGTTTTACAGCTGCCTCATCACCTACTTAGAAACAGCCAAGCTTTTCCTCCTGCAAGCCTTTCTCAGGCAGCTTCTCTGCACCCTACGTGAATAAGATTGATGGTGTTCTGAACCCAGGCAGCCAATTTCAGTCTCTCAAGAAATAATCCACTACATTGACAGATGAGTGGAATTTGACATGATGTTCACCTCAGATTCAGCTTGTGCTGCACCTGGGAAGTACCAGTTAGTGAGCATCCTTTAGGGAAACTATTAGAGATTTTGGACAATTTCTGCTGTCACAACAGAAAGTCAAGACAATGGGTTTTGTTATAAGGCCATGAATTTGCAGTCTGCCAACTGAGTGTGAGAGGTTGTATGTAAAAAGGGATGGAAATATGTTAACTAGCAAACTGAGTGATTTTAATGTATTCAACTGCAGTCCCTGAGCACACCCTATTTTTCATATTTATAATATTAGGAATGCGTCATTTACTTTTAGTTAGTCACTGTGTAAGTAAGATTAAAATGTTCAGCCAAATAAAAGTGAATAAAAAATGGATGCAGATGAGCCAGTGCATAATTTCAGTAATTTAATATTTGGTATATGAAATTTCAACTTACTGAATCATGGCAAGTGTAGCTGTAATCAATAGCATGCTCAGCATACCTTTTCTTTCAGTGTGTGATCTTCCATCGATAATGAGGTGCTCTAAAATAAGAGTATTTGAGCTGTTCAGCTCCATCGTGGGGCTATTTTGGTACAAGATAATCGGAAAGGCAGGTTCCACCTCGTCTTGGGCTTCTCATACTTTACAAATAGAGCCTCACTGAGCACAGGAAGGTGCAGGTAAAAGATGAAATCCTCATGGAGTGTATTTAGCACAATAAACTTGAACTGAACTCAGATTAGCACAGTGCATATACCCATCTGTACTACTGCGGTTAATCCAGTTTTGGAACCCTGGAAATCAAGGGCAATATATAAAGTGGTTAGTTTGTCACCAGAGATTTCTGGACTCGGTTTTTCCTGAAACTTACTTAAGCAAGTGTCTGAATGGGGTGAAATGGATTCCTGCACATTGCAGAAATTACAACCATAAAGCTTAAAGCTTCCTTTCAGTGTAGTGTAGTTGTTCAGTTTTGTAATCTAGTACTTCCTTATTCAGTTAGATGACAGCGCAAGTATGAACCTGAAAACAAATGTGATAAACCTCTTTATGTGACAGTATTTGTAACTGACTGTAGCTTTATTTTCTGTGACATGTTGGCAGGTGGGCACAGATAGTAAGGGCATAGTAAATATTGCTTGAATGTAAGATGGGTGATGCTGTGTTATTTGTACTTGTTCGTTTATTCTTTCTTGTCTCGTTCACACAATGAAGAGTTCGATTGCTGCTGTTAAGTGCCCTTAAGTATTGGTGGCTGTTCCTTTTGTTTCTGATAGGTGAGGTGGGCAGGGTAGATCTTCAGGCTTCTCCTCTGGGATCTAGAGGAGACCTTTGGAATAAGCTAGCCAAACACCACTTCAGTATAATTCCCCATGGGGAATACACATGGCTTTCTGAAGGTTTTTATGACTGTATTTCATTTTCATGAAAATTATGTTAGGCAAAGGATGTGTGAAAGCATTCACAAGAAAAAAACTTTATGTGGAAACAAATCTCCATCTTTTTTCAAGCATGTCATTTCTGTGTGATTTAATAAGAAACAGTGGTAATGAGAAGAAATTCACATTGGCTGGTTTAGGCTCTAAGATACATGCAGTTGTAGAACTGTTGAATTGGCCTGAGGGTTAGAATGGACAGGTTGTGATTTGTAGAGTTAACTAAATGCCTGTGATAGCCCATTGATCATCTGATTGACAGGATTGACCCTGCCCAGAGGTAGGAAGTAGATGCTGACATTTGGTTAAGATAACAAGACATTAACAAAGTAAAGAAGTCAAGTTTAACAAATAAAAAATAACCACCAGCCTTTCAATCATACAATTCTTTGTGAATTTTCTGGCTTTGTTCCACAGTGAGGGATGTCTTGCCTCTGGTGGGGACTGTCAGCTAGTATTGAATCACACTGGACAACACTGCCTATGTGTTGCTTAAAAATACAGGATTCACCTGTAAGTTTGTGCAAAAATAATTAGGTACCCATTAGGGATGCAAGGTTAGGTTTGCACACAGTGTAAAGATGTGAGGCAGACACAAGCAGAAACGTTTACCTACTGTAGCAATACTGACATTTGAAGATAAGTTAATTAAAAAAGGACCTATTCAGAGGAAGAAATCAAGACTGATTCAAGGCTGGAATCGTGTGTCTACTAAATATGAAGTACCTTTTGTTGTGACAGTAGTTAATGATGTACCTGTTAAAAATCATCTCAAGAAGTGATTCTCTATACTTTATATAAGGAAGAAAATCAGTCTCAGAGCAGATCTACGCAAACTAACAAGCAACATCAACCCAAAGATGCTCTGAGCATGTTTCTTAGTAGACAGCATTTTGCAATAACTCAAGCCTGTGACTATGAGCAAAAAATGTCTTCGTTCTGATCTTGGTCTTCCCACTGATTTTTATAGCCTTTGGGGAAACTGCATGTTTTCACACTTCAAAAGGTCTGCTATTTTCACATGCTCCATATATGTGGCTACTAAGTTCAAACCAGCCTGGGAAGAATGTTGGTCTGGAACTAATTCCTCAGGAAAGTGAAAGTAAAATATGTCTTTACTTTGTAGAACAATTGAGATTTGGTAGATGAATTCAGCCGGATTTTTGCACTTGGTATTTATAGATGCAAGTGTAGGACTAGATAGTTAATATATAAATGTGTACAGTTTCCATGGTTAGCAAGTATTCTATTAATTGTATGGTGTGAAGGCAAACTGTTGCCTTCAGTACACAACATCCAAACTGCCATGCAACAATTTAGCCAGTATCCAGCAGATCATGTCATAGGGATAAAAGCTGGCAAGTGGTGTTTCTTCCTGTGTTAATTAAAACGAACTAACCTGCAAGCTCCAAAGCCTGGTTCAGATTTTATTTACACCAGGAAATGCACAGAAAGTATCTTGGTTTGTTCATGATCAGAAAAACCTGCTCACAGTGAGCTATTCCAGTCACTCACTGGAAATCAACTCTCTGGTGAGAACTTTCTATTCTATACCTCTGGCCTTCACAGTCTGCTCTTGAAAATGGGAAACTGCCAACTTCTAAGTAAAGAAATCCAGGTTGGAGGTACCTAATGTGTTCCTGGTCGCATCCAAAATGTATTTGGGTCTATGTGGACAAACATTCGTATGAATTTTGTGTAGGCAGAGAACTGATGTAGTGAAATCAACACTTAAGGATGAAATAGGATTGCTAGCAGCATGATAGTGATGAACTGCCTACTGTGCTTATGTGATGCACTTGTTTACAGTGTGTGTGTATATATATATACACACACAGTATACA